TTCCTTCCTATCTGGAAACTGTGAAAATGTTCTCTGCATCTATGAGTCTGTTTCTGTTCAGGTTCATTTATTTTGTTCTTTAGATTCCACATATAAGTGAAATCATACGGCATTTGTCCTTCTCTGTCTGGCTTATTTCACTCAGCACAATATCTGCAGGTCCATCCATGCTGTTGCAGATGGCAAGATTTCATTCTTTTTTTCAGTTTGACCCATACTCCATTGTATGCATGCACCACTTTTACTTCATCTGTTCATCTTTTGATGGACACTTAGTTGACTTTCATATCTTGGTTATTGTAGATAATTCTGTAAGGAACATACGGATGCATATATTTTTTCATTTTAGTGTTTTTGGTTTCTTTGGATAAGTACGCGTAAGTGGAATTGCTGGGTACTTCTTTGTCTCTGGTTATAGCCATTGTTTTAAATTCTGTTTTGTCTGTTATAAGGATTGCTATCCCAGCTCTTTTGTTTGTTTTTATTTTTATAACGTATTTTTTCCCATCCCTATACTTTTAGTCTGTATGTGTCTTTTGATGTGAAGTGAGTCCCGTTTGTCTTCTGATTGGAGCATTTAGTCCATTTGCATTTTTAAAATTAATTGTTAATAGGTATGGAATTTTGGTTCTTGAACTTAATTCATTCCAGAAGGTTGTTCAAGGAGCGATTTATTCGAAAATCAAATCATTTTTTCCCCATTAGAAATAATGTAAATGGAATTAATCTGTTTCAGACCCCCCAAATGATTTTCTTCTTTAGCCTTTCTTATATACAGTACATGTCTAATGTACTGTTTAATCTATAAATAAACACTTTTCTTAAATTTCTCAAAACACTCCCTATTAGCCTTAAACAAATCATTTTTAGCATTTGGTCTAGGGATGTCTTTCAGGTCTGCATACAGCATCTTTGCCTATCTGTATATTACTGCCTCCAAGAAATGGCTGTCACTGGGTAACTGCTTTTCATCTGTCCAAACCAACAACAGTTTTTCTGCCTCTTTAATTGTCAGATCATTGTTTCTTTCACACTTAGCAACATTAGCACTCTAAAATTTCTTTTTTAAAATTGTGCTAATCCTTGTTTTCTCCAGCAACAAAAGCATTCTCTTCTTTGTTTGCTGCCTGAAAGATTCCTTTTGTCATGCCGAGTATCAGCATGAAAGGGTTGTCAGGTAGAAAACCAAAACTTAACAATTGGGACATTTTTGCTGTGAATAACTTGGTCGAAAACCCAAATTGTTTGAGATGGGAGATGTTCAAGAAATGAGGCTTACGTGTATTTATTGCCATTTTATTATTCATAGTTTTTATCTTTTTATTGTGTTTTGATGGTGATGAAGTAGCCTTTTCTAGTCCGGGAATCTCTTTATCCTTCCATTCTAAATGATAGCTTTCCTAGGTAGAGTAATGTTGGTTGTGGGTCCTTGCTTTATCCCTTTGAATATTTTGAGCCACTACTTCCTGCCTGCAAAATTTCTATTGAGAAATCAGCTGACAGTCTTATGGGAGCTCTCTTGTAGCTAACTAATGGGTTCCTTCTTGCTGTTTTTAAGATTCTCTCTTTGTCTTTAACCTTTGGCATTTTAATTATGATGTGTCTTGGTGTAGACTTCTTTGAGTTCATCTTGTTTGGGACTCTGTATTTCCTGGACTTCTATGTCTATTTTCTTCACCAGGTTAGGAAAGTTTTTTGTTATTATTTTTCCAAATAGGATTTCAATTCTTTGCTCTCTCTCTTCTTCCGGGAGGCACCCCCATAATGTGGATGTTGGTATGCTTGATGTTGTCCCAGAGGCTCCTTAAACTGTCCACAATTTTTTGGATTCTTTCTCTTTTTGCTGTTTTGATTGGGCATTTTTTGCTACTTTATCTTCCAGTTGCTGGTTTGCTACTCTGCTTCATCTTCTCCGTTGTTGATTCCCAGTAGCTTCATTTCAGTTTGTGTATCTTTCATCAGGTTCTTCTCTATGTTTGCTATTTCCATTTTTGTATTTCCTCTCCTTATTAAAGTTCATTTAATTCATCTGCTCTTCCCCTAGGTTCATTGAGTATCCTTCAACCAGTGTTTTGAGCTCTGCACCTGGTATTGCTTGTCTCCATTTGTTTAGTTCTTTTTCTGGGGTATTGTGCTATTGTTTCATTTGAGACATGTTTCTTTATCTCCTTATTTTGGCTGCCTCCCTGTGCTGGCTTCTATGTAGTAGGCAGAGTTGTTACATGTCCCTGTCTTGGTAGAGTGGTCTAATGTAGTTGGTGTCCTGTAGGGACTAGTGACACAGCCTCCCTGGTCATTTTAGCTGTGTACTTCAGGTGTGCCGTGTCTTGGCTTTGTGACCCCTCCTGTTGTAGTTGAGCTTTGATTGTTGTTGGCACATCAATGGGAGGTATTTACCCCTAAGGCCGGTTGGCTACAATTGGCCATGACTACAATGGAAAAGCTCTTATGTAGGGGCCAACCCCAGGGAGCAGGACTTGCTTCAGTGGGGCTCTGGTGCCTGATTAGTTCTCACCTTGAGTGTGCCGCTGGTAGAGGTGGTTGGGTGGTGTTCTGGCATTGTCTGACACCGTCCACCTGGTGCACTATCTCTGGAGTCCTCAGGGAGGTGCAGACCAAAGTCAGCTGCCATCCATATCCTGCCCAGGGCCACCCAACTTGAGCTACAGAGGGATCTGCAGAAGACTGCTACCTGTGCTGGGCTTGGAGGTGATGGGGAGAGCCCATGCTGTGAACAGGGGCCAGCTGTTGCTCTTGCCAGGCCTGGGACCATTAGCAGGAGGTATGAGACATGCCGAGGCCAGATCCTGCTGGTTGAGGTAGGGTTTGTGAACTTTTGATAGATTTTAGGAAAGTTCTCAGCAGGAGCCAAGACAGGCTGCTTGTATGGAAAAGCTACTGGAAGTTGCTTGGATGGGCCCACAAGGTGGGTAGGGCACTGTCTCAGGGACTCATCAAGGTGGGGTGAACAGTTAATCAGGCTCAGATATGGTGCTTGCCTGTGGGCCCTGTGCCAGGCGGCGGGGTCGGGGGCAGGCGACTCAGAAAAGGAACAATGTTTTTTGCCAGCACTTCTGTCTGGGTAAAAGCCACTCTTCCAGTCTTCGCCCCATATCCAGACAATTCAGTTCCTCCCTGTATGTCCCTGTTGCCTTTTGAGCTGCTGCCCCAGTGCTGGAGCTCAGAGCAAGTGAATCTGAGTAAGTTTTTGCATTGGAGCCCTTTAAGAGGAACACCTGGGACTCCAGCAGCCCTCTGTCTCAACCGCAATCCCTGCTGGTTTCCCAGCCAGAAGTTATGGGGACTTGTCTTCTGGCACTGGAACCCTGGGCTTGGGGGCCTGGTTTGGGGCTGGGAACCCTCACTCCTCAGGGGGATCTCCACAGCCAAAATATCCTCCTGATTTTTAAAACACGCGTGTGGGACTAGCTCCCTCTGTATCTCTACCTCTTCTACCAGTCTCAATGTGGTTTCTTCTGTATATTTTTATACAGACTTTTGTTCAGCTAGATTTCAGGTGATTCTGAGTGATGGTTGTTCTGGAGTTTAGTTGTAATTTTGATGTGCTCCTGGGAGGACGTGAGTATTGCATTTATCTATACCTCTGCCTTGACTGGAAGCCCAGTGCATTGGGTCTTAATTAACATTTTAAGTAGTTTCTATTTTTTTTCTGTGGTAAAGGTTGTTTTGTCTACTTATATCTGTACCTATGAAGGATGAAGGAGATATTCTAGAAATGAAAATAGTTATTCAGAAGGAATGTGAATTTTATGTTTTTGATGGATATAATAAATGTCCTCAAAATAATCATATCAACTTATACTTTTTTCCACACTGTTATCAATTTTGGGTAGTATTAAAATTTCTTAGTGTAAGAAATTTTTTGTAAAGATTGCATATTATTCTGTTAGGTAGACATTACTATTTATATCCATTTTTCTGTTGTTGGACATTTAATAGAAATAATACTGCAGTGTTCATGCACATGAATCTTGAGCCATGTAATTAGATGAATTTTAAATACAGTGTGCTTCAGAAAGAAGCCAACTTGAAACAAATCTTTCTTTCTCTTTTGAAGGTCTCCTTTATAAAAAAGCCACTTGACTATGGACAAGTAGAATCAGTAGGAGATGACACTGATGAAAATGTAAAGGAGATGGAGAATCAGTCATCCATGAGTGTGTTTACTAGTTACCCTGCTAGTAGTGTTAGTGATGCAAATGAATCTGGAGAGAGCCAGCTTACTATTGGTAAATATATATTTACTTTGTGGGATTATTTTTATTCATATTGATTTTACATTACAAAAATCCTCATTGATACCAATTGTATGCTCATTTTATTTTTTATTTTTTTTTAAAGATATATTTTATTGATTTTTTACAGAGAGGAAGGGAGAGGGATAGAGAGTTAGAAACATCGATAAGAGAGAAACATCCGTCAGCTGCCTTCTGCACACTCCCTACTGAGTATGTGCCTGCAACCAAGGCACATGCCCTTGACCGGAATTGAACCTGGGACCCTTGAATCCTTAGGCTGACTCTCTATTCACTGAGCCAAACAGGTTAGGGCTATTTTTTATTTTTTGGTATAGTTTATTAGGATTGTTTTTTTTTCTGTACCCTTTAGATTTTCTAATTTTAATGGAATTTATTAGTTTTCTGTTCTTCATAAGGAAAATTAAAATAATCACTAAAGAAAATTATATAATAGTTTTTTGGAAAATTGAAAACAGGAGAGTGATAAAGTACCCACAATGCCATCCTTTTAAACTTTTTCTGTTGTCTATAGACCTTTTGAAAATTGTAATTAGCATTGACATTCTTATGTCTTTTTTACACCTTGATTTTTAACATTAATTATAAACATTTTTTTTTCATTGAGCTGCCTGAATTGATGAGCAAATTTTTTAATGGCTTCATAGTATCCCAATTAACATACATAACATAATTTACTTGACCATTATTTACTGTTAGAAATTTAGATTTCTATTTTCTTATAATTAATAGTACTGCACTGAATGTTTGTCCATATAGATTTTTCCATAGATCATTTCTTGATGATAAAATCCTGGGGTAACTTTTAATGAAGAATTTTGAAGCTTTTAGTGTTTAATTGATTTCACCATAATTTTGTTTATCATATACTTTAATCTTTTTTTTTCTTGATAGAGGGGAAGCTATTTGAGCTAATAATGTTCGTGTGTGTGGCTGTTGTGCCCTGCTCTTAGTTTTAATAAGTGCTTTTTATTTATAGGTGCCATGAATCCCTTAGCTGAGGAACATCTGTCGAAACAAGATCTGCTTTTTTTAGACATGCTCAAGTTCTTGTGCGTAGGTGTAACCACAGCTCAGACCAGTCCTGTGTCATTTAGAGCAGTTGATATTCGGAGGAAATTGTTAATGTTAATTGATCCTAGTATACTAGATCTTACCAAATCTCTTCACCTACACATGGTGAGTTAAGTAAAATGAAGATTCTTTATAGTTCTGTCTGGCATTGCTGCTGAAGATAATAGATTGACATCAGAACCACATAGTAACTTTAAAGTGTTGAAATTGCTTTCTTGATAAATGAATCTGAGACTAGTTATAAAATACACTTTTTCCTTTAAAGTGCTTGGAAAAAAAATTTAAGTAGACACAGAAACATTAAAACTTGGATTGACTTTACGTAGATTTATTATCTTAAGGTATACTTAATTATAAGTTCTTTAAATTAAGCCAAGAAACACAGATTCTGAATGTAAAAGTAATCTATATAAGAGACTAATATGCTATGTATCCGACTGTCTGCCTGGTCGCTATGATGTGCACTGACCACCAGGGGCAGATGCTCAACACAGGAGCTGCTGTGACAAGCACTGGCCATTTACAGAGAAATGGCAATGCAGACCTGGTGCTGACGAAACAACAATCGGCTTCCCCAAGTGGGACACAGGCCCCGTCACCACCCTGGAGTGACAGCCCACCAAATTGCAGCCAATGCTGCCCAGACCGCATGGTACAAAATGCAACCTACAGCCCAGTCCAGCCCAGAAACAGTGGCTGTGGGCACCGGATAATGATGTCACATAGCAACAACTGGCTTCCTTTCCCTAGCAACTAGCCTCCTTGGATTTTCTTCAGCCGAGAACAGTGATGGCAAACCTTTTGAGCTCGGTGTGTCAGCATTTTGAAAAATCCTAACTTAACTCTGGTGCCGTGTCACATATAGGAATTTTTTGATATTTGCAACCATAGTAAAACTAAGACTTATATATACATTTTATATATATATTTTTTTATTGATTTTTTGCAGAGAGGAAGAGAGAGGGATAGAGAGCCAGAAACACTGATGAGAGAGAAACATCGATCAGCTGCCTCCTGCACACCCCCCTACTGGGGAATTGGGTGGAATCCTATTTTCTATTCATTAGCTGGAAAATGGAGATTTAGAAAGCTTAGAAACGTGACACGACTGAAAAGAAGTAAGAAATGGTGGACCTTGAAAATGACTTCAGGTTTTCTCACTGCACAGACTACAGTCAAACACTGCTGCAGTTAAATATTTTACCCTTTGTTCTCCCTGCATGATCTACAATAATAATCTGCTTTATGTTGATATTTCCTGCTGTGTTGCTGACAGTTACCTGGAAGAGAAGTTGGGGTGCTTCACTGGGCTGGAAAAAGTTTAGCTACATCAGAAAACGGGTCTAATTAAGCAAGTTTATCTATATTTATATGTAAAGCGCTTGCTGGCGCCAGTTCCACCCGTGTGTTTCGATCTGTCATTGTTGATTGTGAATTTGGTTGACAAATCTATTATAGAGAAAGGGTGAATGGCAATATTAAAATATTTCTTCTAATTAAGGTACGTGCGAGGTTAGAAACAATATAGTTTTAGATTCTTGTTCAGGCACCTAATCCCAGCAATTAATAACTATCATTAATTGAATACCTACAATAAATGTTAGATCTTTATATTCATTTCCTTTAATCCTCACAGTAATCTGGCTAAATAAATGCTATATCCCCATTTTACAGGTGAGAGTACAAAAGCTCAGATGACAATGCAAATTTTTTGTTTTTTTAATGTTTTTATTGATTTTTAAAGAGAGAGGAAGGGAGAGGAATATAGATATAGAAATATTGTGCATTGAGAATCATAGATTGGCTGCCTCCTCTAAGCCCCTTACTGGGAACCGAGCATGCAACCTGGGCATGTGCCCTGTCTGGGAATCGAACTGGTGACTTCTTGGTTCCTGCATTGGTGCTCAACTACTGAGCAACACTGGCTGGGTGACATTGCAAGGTTTTTCACCGCACAAGTAATAAGTTGTGCTGGGATTTGAATCCAGCTGTGTTTGACCTCAATTGCTTTTTTTTTTTTTTTTTAACTATACTACCTTTTAAAGAAAATCACTGGTCTTGTGTGTACTTGTGTGTATGAATATATGATTTTGTGGTTAAATATATACTTATTTAAGTAAATGACATGTTTAGAAACAATTGATTTCTCACTCCCTACCCTCCACCCACCCAACTATCTTAGTATCTAGTGCTTTTAAAGGAGCTTCCTGGAGAAGAATATCCTTTGCCAATGGAAGATGTTGTTGAACTTCTGAAACCACTATCGTAAGCAATTAAAACCATGTTATGTTCACTTAAAATTTATAAATTAACTGATGTGTTCTGTTATGCTTATAAAGTTAAACTTTTTCCACCATAGCAAATTGTGTTCTTTATATCGCCGTGACCAAGATGTTTGTAAAACAATTTTAAACCACATCATTCATATAGTGGGGAACCTATGTCAAGGCAATATGGATTCTGAGAACACAAAGGATGCTCAAGGACAGTTTCTAACAGTTATTGAAGCATTTTGGTAGGTACAGATTATTCTGTGGAGTTCTTTTTTTTGCTTCTTCTGATACAGATGTAACTTTTACATTTCTGCATTAGTGACTTCTTCTAATCCTTAATTGTAATTACATATTCTTTTAACAATAGTAAATGTAATTTGTGTTTTTTCCCCCCTTAATTTCTTGAAGAACTACATTGTATTTTTCTTAAGGCTTAGCTTTCTAAAGTGTGTTTAGTATTTCCCTGCAAATTTTGAATCACTTAATAGTTTGACATATATGGTGAATAAAGCAAAGTGCATCATGTCGAAATCAATGGAATTGGCCTTATCAGTATCTGGTTATTTCATGTATATAATCATAGTGTGAGACAACACTATGATACTTACAGAGTAGCACATATATATAATTTAGAGCTCTCATATCATTTGACTGTAAAGGACTTCAGAATCAATATAGAAATGGTTTTTAAATTTTTGATATAACAACAAAGACTTTAAAATGTTTCTCTTTAAATTAAGATTACTATATAACATGGTTAGCTGAAGTAAGATAGCTAAGTCAGACATAATCATATAAGTCTAATAATATACATTAAAATGAACTAAGCATTTCCTTTATATGGAATTCTTTTTGGAAGATGAGAATATAGGCATGTGCCACATAATGATTAAAGTTAGCATGGAAAGAAATTTTGGAAGCGATTTTTTTTTTACTGTGCTTTTATTGAAATAATTATTTGACATTGAAACACTTTATTTCAGGCAATTAATCAAGGAGGGGAAATGCATATTCTCTGTAAGAATGGCACTAGTAAAATGCCTGAAAACTTTGCTTGAGGTGAGTTACTCCACATTAAGTGTTAGAAAGTTTTCCGTAAATTTTAAAAATAGCCTTTGTTTCTGTTTGTTAATGGGTGATTTCTTTCTTAGTATTTCGTATTAACCTAAGTTGTGCTTTTTCCATAGGCTGATCCTTATTCAGAATGGGCTATTCTTAATTCAGCGGGAAAAACCTTTTCTGTAAATGAAGTATTTCCACAATTTCTTGCTGATAATGACCACCAAGTCCGCATGTTGGCTGCAGAATCAATCAATAGGTAATGAGTCAAATATTTATGAAATGTCTGGAATGCTGCAGATATCAATGCAATGCTAGCATAGTCATGGGTTACTTGTTACGATATTAAAAATAGCTAATCACTTATGTCAACTATAATTTTTTTAAAAAGCTAATAGTTATTGAGCATATACTATATGCCTGGCTTTTATGTTTTATACACACACACACACACACACACACACACACACACACTCTAGAGGCACAGTGCATGAAATTTGTGCACTGGGGGTGGGGGGGATGCCTTCATTCCAGCCTGTGCCCTCTCACAGTCTGGGAGCCCTTGGGGGATGTCTGACTGATGGCTTACACCTGCTTCCCAAGGGGAGCAGGCCTAAGCCAGCAGTTGGCCATCCTTAGCGCTCGCCTGCTGTGAGCCTGGCTTTTGGCTGAGCAGTGCTCCCCCTGTGGGAGCACACTGACCACTAGGGGGCAGCTCCTGCGTTGAGCATCTGCCCCCTGGTGGTCAGTGAGCGTCATAGTGACCAATCGTTCTGCTGTTCGGTTGATTTGCATATTAGCATGTTATTATATAGGATATTTTCATTGATTTCACAAAGGAAGGGAGAGGGAGAGGGAGGGGGAGAGGAAAAGTGAGAGCGAGAGCGAGAGCAAGAGAGAGAGAGAGAGAGAGAGAGACAAACATCAATGATGAGAGAGAATCATTGTTGGCTGCCTCAATTGACTCCCCACACTGGGGAAGGAACCTGCAACCTGGGCATGTATCCTGACTGGGAATTGAACTGTGAGCTCCTGGTTCATAGGTTGATATTCAACTACTGAGCCACACTAGCTGGGCCTGGCTTTTGTATTTTCTTTTAATTCTAACAACTCTCTCACTTAGATACCATTATTTTCTCCAATTTATAAATGAAAACGCTCTGGCTTAAAGAGATAAAGTAGCTTGATCAGTGCGACAGAGCTAGTAAGTGGTTGAGTTGAATGAGGTGTGTCTACTACCCAGGATATAAGATCCTGATGGCATTTTTTTTGTCTGTTGATTTAGCACCTAAAATAATACTTGCTAATAGGTGTCTAATAACTTCTAAAAATCAATGAGTATTGAAAAAAATTACATTATACTTTAAAAATAGTAAAGCAGAAAATCATTTGAGTAACTTTGTTGTTCACATGTAAGTGACCAATAATTAAAAATCACTATAAAGAAATTGCTCCAGCAGTCACATCAATATATGTGTTAGATAACCTAATGTGTCCAAAGTTTGAATATGATGACAATAATGTTTGTATAAATAGAATTGTGTGTAACTCCTCAGGTTTGGGATTCTTCAGTAAACCATAGTGCATTGTAAGGATTGCTAATGAATGTGTGCTTTACTCCAAGTCTTAGACGATAGAAAATATATACTGAAGTTAAAGCCCTGAAGTTATACTCAAAGAAACAAAGAAAAAACTGATAGTTGGCCGGGGTGGGGGGTGGGGGGTGGGAATGGATGGATGAAAAAGGTGGAGGGGAATAAGAGGCACAAACTTCAGTTATGAAATAAATAAGCCACGAAGGTATAGTACACAAGCTCTGGGAATATAGTCAATAATAATGTAATAACTTTGCATGGTGACAGATCATTGCTAGACTTAGTGTGATGATCACATTGTAAGGTATATAAATTTTGAGTCGCTATATCTTGCACCTGAAATTGTTGTAATATTGTATGCAAACTATACTTTAATGAAAGCATTTTTTAAAAGAGCTCAAAAAAAGATGGAATTTATAGAGGATCATAAGTTGAATGTAATAAAGCAGTGTAGTAGTAGCATTGCATAATCTCTTAAGATTCAAAAATGTATAAATTCAAGAATGGCATGAACATTGCACTTGTTGATTTCTTTTTTAGGTGGTTACTTGTTAGATATCTAAATTGGACATTTTAACAGAAATTAAAGAAATTGGAGGAATCAGAGGAATACCAAAAAGTTTAAAAGTCTTGATACTAAAAGAGCATAAAGGACAAAATTGATTGAAGAGTTGTCCTTAAATATACTAGGATTTTTCGCAAATGGCACTGATCAACTGTTTTCCATCACATAAAATATTTAAGTGGAACATCAAGACATTAAGCTATTCACTTTCAGGATGGTTGAATATTAGGACAGGCTAATATACTAATAAGAGTCTGTGGCTTCTTCTAATTGGCATTTGACCAGAGGACAATTTTCCTTTTTTGGGTACTTTGAGTTCAGGCCAATTCAGGTTTGCACAGTAAGCTAGAAGGTCTTTGAGACCCTTTTTGGTTCTAGGGGAAAATGGAGTATATGGTAAAGACCCTACCATTATTCAGCAATGGATCTTAACCTCTTTTAAGTGCACTCATATTTTCTTGTCTTTTGAAAGAAAACCTATTAGGGTGTCTCACAGAGTGATTTATTTTTGTCCTGTAATATGTTTTAGGAAGTAAGGTTTAAGGTAAAACATTATTTCACTTTTTTTTTAAGGTTATTTCAGGATATGAAGCAAACAGGTTCTTCCACGTTATTGAAAGCACTTCCTTTGAAGCTTCAGCAAACAGCTTTTGAAAATGCGTACCTGAAAGCTCAGGAAGGAATGAGAGCAGTGGTAATTTTAGTAATGTGTATTTGCTATTATTGTATACTTTCTATAAACATACCATATATTACTTTACCAACATTGGCCCAAGACAGTTTCTATCTAATAGTTTACAGTATAAAGTTAGACTATAGCAGGAAGGGTGGAGGTGGGAAAAGGGTGGAGGTTATGGGAAACATCTGTAATAATGTCAACAATAAAAAAAAGTTAGACTAAAACAACTGTATGAACTGATTGAAATATTTGTATTTATTGGTCAGGATTAGTAGAATAATGGCAATTTCTTTTGATTCAGCTTATATGTAGCATTTTTGCTGGAAAACAATTTCCTGAATTTTCTAGGAGTATAAATGGTTTTCTTTTTTATTAAACATTTTTTCTTTTTGTAAGAGCTGGACAAAATCTAGTTCAGAGAACAGGTAACAAAGGGAAGAAATGGATTGAGAAAAATGTTCTAATAAGGAATATCAAATTACCATGGTGTCCTTTAGTGAACCTCTTGATTTTCATATTTCTCTGTAGAATAATGATTTTTTTCCCCTTAAAATGAAAATTGTCCTAGGCTTAGAATTTATTCATTTATTTATGCTTTAATTTGTTTGTAAAAGCTATATGAGGCAGTTAATTAAATGACTTTAGTTTGTGATAGCACAAGACTGAAAAGGACAGTTGTGTGAAGAATGTGAATTTAGTAAAAGATTTCAATAGATTTGAAAAATGAGTTTAAATATTATAAAATTAATAGAGATAATGTATATTATACATTTAAAAATCAGCCTGTCATGTGCAAAAAGGGAAAATATTGACCTGACAACAATGCATTTAGATAAAGACCTAACAAGTTTTATCTTTGAGAGCACACTATGAATCAACATTGTAACAGTCTTTCAAAAAAGCAAAGTCTGTCTTTAACATCATTGATAGAAGCATACTGGCATGAACAGGTTGATAGAAAGAATTTGATCTTCTATACATTTTATTTTATTTTTTAAATATATCTTTATTGATTTCAGAGAGGAAGGGAGAGAGAGAGAGAGAAACATCAGTGATGAGAGAGAATCATTGATTGGCTGCTTCCTGCACGCCCCCTGCTGGGAATTGAGCCCACAACCTGGGCATGTGCTCATGACTGGAATCAAACCTGGGACCCTTCACTCCGCAGGCCGGCGCTCTATCCACTGAGCCATACTGGCTAGGGCTCCTCTATACATTTGAGAGGGCAGCTAGTGTGTTGAGTTTGGCTCTCAGTAAAAGTAAAGTAGACTTTGAGTTAGGATGTTAGCGAGTCTGTAGATCCATCTCTTACAAGCAATAGGTGGAGTTGACTCATTGACCTCATAGCTGTTTTTGAGCATGTTGATTGCCATTGAGTAAAAGAATTAGATCCTTACTTTTTCTTGTACCAAAAACCAAAGCTAGCATCAGAGAGTAGCAGTTGTTTTCTAAATGTGAAGAGAAACTTCTATCAAGTATAGCTAATCAAAAAATGTACCTATTTGTAGGGATATTATAACTATTGAAGGGTATGTCATCCTATCTCATTGCATGTTTTGATTATTCCTTTTGGTGAAGATATGAAAATATTGTTAAAAATATGAAGAAGTATATATTGTTGTAATGATCATAAACATCTTATGAAGTATACTTGGTAGTTGAAGAGGAACTTTTAATCTCTCTCACCTACTTGCAATTTCTCATTTTTCTTTGATGTGTTTTATACATCACTGAAATGTTTAGCAATTGTTTCCATAATCAAAAGCAGTCTTTGACACTCTAGAAACTGATATTTTCTCAAAATCTCTACTCTGAGCTTTGTCACTGTAGGAGTTAAAACTGTTCATTGCCTGCTTAAATGTTGTCATAGTATACTTTGATTTTATCCTCACTGGTTTATTTGTAATGTTTAAATATTTATAAAGTCCCACAGTGCTGAGAACCCTGAACTTTTGGATGAGATTTATAATAGAAAAGCTGTTTTACTGATGACGATGGCTGTGGTTTTATACTGTAGTCCTGTCTGTGAAAAACAAGCTTTGTTTGCCCTATGCAAGTCTGTAAAAGATAATGGATTAGAACCTCACCTCATTAAAAAGGTACATGTGGATGAATATTTTTTATTATAATCTTCCTTGGGTGACTTTTAAACAATTAAAAAAGTTAAACTAGAATTTTAAAGTGGCACTTACAAAAAACTTAGAGACAGTTTTATTTTTTAATAATGTGTTTGAAAAATAATGTATTTATTTGTATACCTTGTTATTATTTCTTGCATTCAATTCAAGAACATTTCACAGGTATTCATTAAACTAACAAGGGTGAATGGCCTGTTGTCACGCAGACCAGGCCTTCTGTAGTAGCATTTACTGACTGACACACGGCGAACACAGTAGTAGTGAGTGTTCTGCCTGGTTGATGCTGGGGCAGGGCATTGGGATCTAGCAGAGTCAGGCATGAAATTTTAGAGCTTTTAAGTTGCATGATTAGGAAAGGAAGACCAGGGTCTAGCCTTGCAATTTCATCAGCACAGTGTTGTAGCATGTTCATTCCTGACTTTTTCCACTACCTCAGCATTCATGGTTTGGGAAGTTCCAAGCCCTTCCAGTATAGATTTTTTTTAAAAATATATTTTATTGATTTTTTACAGAGAGGAAGGGAGAGAGATAGAGAGTCAGAAACATCGAAGAGAGAGAGACATTGGTCAGCTGCCTCCTGCACATCCCCCACCGGGGATGTGCCCGCAACCCAGGTACATGCCCTTGACCGGAATCGAACCTGGGACCCTTCAGTCCGCAGGCCGACGCTCTATCCACTGAGCCAAACCGGTTTCGGCCCAGTGTAGATTTTTATATGATGAACGAGTGACAGCTCAGTAGCCTGCTATCCCATTCAGCATCCTGACAACCTGGTTTCCGTGGAGCTTTGCAGTAGGCCAACTTGTGGGTAATCAGTCTTAGACAAGTTAACCTTTTATTTCTCAGGATTAAGATAAGTTGCTTTAAAAAAAATACAATTGCATCACCTAGTTATTGTAAGTGGAATATAGTGTTTAGTATTTTCTCATTTGGGCTTAGGACTGCGAAGAAGAATTATTTTACTTTAGACCCGGGGTGGGGAACATCTGCCCCATGGGCCATATAAGGCCCATGAAATCATTTGGTCTGGCCCTACCACGGCATGAGGTGTGAGTGAATTGATTGTTTGACCAAATATAGCTAATTTTTAAGTTGA